AAAAAAAAAAAAAGGGAAAAAAAGGGGAAAAAAGCGGGGGGAAAGACGAGGGAAAAAAAACAACAAAACAAAACAAAAAACAATATCGAAAACACAAAACAAAAACCAAGACAAAAACTAAACAAGCAAACAACTTCTTAGGAAACGACATTTACGCTACGAATGCAATTAATTTTAACTTTTTAAGGCCATGATTTCTACGGCAAACAACTTATTGCCTTCTGTTCAAGTGCCATCTTCATATCCCTCTATTTAAAGTTTTTTAACGCTATTTAAGGACCCAGGTTAGGCATTTCGAATAGAGAGATCAAAAGCGCCCGGCAGATCAATAACGTCGGGGCTTTCAATATTTGTTCAAATATACTAGGCGTCTTAAACAGAAAGATAAATAATCAAAAATCAATGTTGACCTTATGGTCTTTAACTTGATATTATTAAAAGGCGTTACCTAGGTAACGATGCGGTTTTAAAACAATTATAAAGAGTCAATAAACTAAACAACACTCGAATATTTGACTAACAGAAATGACCTTTCCTTTCGTATGTTTTCTTTTTGCTATAATTCTCGCTGTTCAGTTTAATCGATATTTTTCATATTATTAGTTTCATTGACCAACGCACCTTTTTTAGTGCAGCTGATAACAATTGACTACCATCTTTTCTTCTTCTTCTGATTACTAAGCACCTAACCACAGATTTTTTATTATTGAGTGGAAAGAAAATCAGTGACTTATGATCGAGTCCTACATTGAAATCATCCTGGGAGAATGCGGCTAAAGCGGTACTCTCAGAGCAGAGGCGAGTTGGAAGAATAGGGTGAACGCCTTATGCACGTACTGGCTCGCTGTGAGATGATAATAGTGACCATTAGATCCGACGACGAGTACGAGATCGAGTACGAGTACGAGTTTTAAGATTGGTCCTGTACACGTGGTTAACACTAAATCGTAGTCGATTTTCGGTTTTTTACAATTTAAAGTTTCAATCTACGTACACAACCACGAATACGAAATGACAGTGCCAATCTTGAAAAGTTAGAAACTCGTACTCTTAATCGCTCTCTTACTCGTCGTCGGATCTTAAGGCCTCTATAATCAGTCGGTGAACAACGCCCTCATCAAGGATTGGATCGAAATTTGGTTGTTGAAACCTTAGTGGAAAAAAAAAAAAAAAAAAAAAAAAAAAAGAAAAGAAAAAGAAAAAGAAAAAAAGTAAACGCTTGCTTTTCACACAGTTCCCTTAAACTCGTGTTTTAATAGCTTTACAATAATGAAGAAATAGAGAGCGCGCGCGCACGTTATCTTAGATAGAAATAACGCAACTGAAAGCGCGTGCAAGTGCTGTGTGCTCTCATAAAGCACGCGCTTCCACCAATGAGAACCCGAAATTTAAATCAGTTATCTTAAGCGCAAAATAGATTTAGCTTCTAAAGTATCAGAATATGTTTCAGACAGTTATCCGCAGAATCCGCGAAATTTCGCGGGCGTTTGCGCGCTTTACAAGGTCCTTTTATAAACTCATTGCTCTATGACTGTTTATCGTTTAGCCACTTTAGATCGAGACTAAATTCCTCTCAGTTTTAATAAAAGAGGTTCTTGAGGATATTTGCTTACTATTCTCAATCTAGGTTTTGTAATTAGAATTTTATAACTTGTAAGTAAAAAAAGTATTGAGTGAAGGTCTGGTGTAGAATAGTTTACCAGCTAATCTTAGAAAACAAGCGAATATGATGGAGGAGATTTCGGGAGGAGCAATTATCAGTACCTTATTTCAGTGTTTGCATATCTATAATCTTAGTGTTTAAGTAGTATTTAATTTTATCTTTGTTTCATCTTATCTTAATATATTGTATTTCATAATATTTTTGATCATGGGGGAGGAAGAGACAACTACCTGTCAGAATGATCAGTTTTTCATTTGTGTAATACTCGTAAATGGTTGGAGTATGCACATACAGATCAGTGACATGTTCTGGATCTATAGGTTCAGATAACTTGCAGGTGTGCCGAAGAGAAATAAATGTGGTCTACGTGCGTTAGGTGTAATTTAAAGTTTCCATTTTACCGTGAAGTGATATCGTATCACTTCACTAATATGGTTTTTATTCACGGCTATATCACGCTCATCGAATCTAAATGTGTAATAAATTATGATACCACGTACCACAGGTGGCTCAGGCTCAATCTTAGCTTACCTTTTCTCTTGTTTACTCAGTGAATCATCAAATTTCATTTGTTAATGAACTAACTATTATCATATTAGTTATGGTAATAGTTATGATATTTCTTATTTTGAGCTATTATTTTTCATTTTATTTTATTTTTAGCACAATCGAAGTGGATCAGAAGGCAGTCGACGCGTAAGACCTGTGTCTGCGCACATCAAGAGGCCGAGGTAAATTTAACCATCCCTTGATAAAATATCTTGCAATCATTTATTTATTGTTTTTATCTTTTGCTACCATTTTCCTTTCAGAATCTTTAACTTTGTTCGTATGATTTATATGTTTTTCACCTGAAAGGCCCTAATTCATCAAATTCAGCCCAAAAATAAACATTTATTGAATTCGGTTTTAAAGATATCCGGGATTATCAGTGTCACAGCAAATTGATAATTCCAGATATCATCAAAACCTCATCCAATAATTGTTTAATAACTAGCTACACCGACGCTTTGAAGACATAGTATACTTTAGTATACCATGTGATATGTGTAGTGCTGCTATAACACCCTCTGGCATATTATCCAACAGACATTCCCACGAAAGGGCGCGCGAAAATGTTCGTATCGGGATAAAGGGGAAGTTTCTACCTTCCTCCCTGTGCTGTCCTTTCGATAATTTTTTTTTTTTTATCTTGTTTAAGTGCCAAAGAAAATCGCCGGGTACGAGAACGAATTCATGCACCAATACCACCAGGTAAGGGATTGGGTACTTTCGTAAAAGATTTTCGCCCTAGAATATTTTAAGTTAGTGAATGTTAGTGCATTATCTATTTGACGACTTAACTGATTTACATTCGGTTAGGGTTAAATTTATTTAGTTATCTGTTTTTATATTTAGACAGTGTTTATTCATTTGATTTCTTTTTACATTTAACTTACATAGTGCGATAATTGTTTTGATGCATATTTATTTTAGTAAAAACACGCAGGTGATTATAGAAAATCTCGCGCGCTGATTGGTCAAGAAACTCACACTATCACACGATAATCACCTCGAGCGAAAATCCAAAATGGCGGCCAGCCGCTTTGTTGCTTTTACCGGAAAAAAATACCTTTTATCTTCTTTCTTTTCTTTCTTTGAAAGAATCACCTGTGTATTTATACTGAAACAATTACTTACCTCAGGCTCAGTGATTATTGGGGAATATTCATCTCGCCGCTCAAAGACTCGCGTCTCGGTAAATATTCCCCGATAATCACTTCGCCTTCGGCGAATAATTAATAAATAACTGCCATAGCTTATTGAATTGACGCATCCTATGCGTCGTATCTTATGCGGGTATACAGCAAAGGCTATACACCGTATGTACACAATTATAGTTTGCTTAGAAATTTCGATGAGTTTATCCCCTAGTCTTTCGTAATTAACTCCATCTACTCTGACATAAGATGATCACCATCAAGGGAAAGGCTGTGTTGGTGTTCATTAACTTTGTTGATGTTAGGTTTTGGTATAGAGAAGAACCTCTATTTAATGGTTTTAACCATGTTAAAACATCTATAAAAAAGCTTGTTGTCAAAATCAAAAAGAAGATTTTTTGCACTACTTTTTAGCTCTATAAGCGGTCAACCTCTATCTATCGGCCACTTGACAATTCCCAGCTTTATACAAGTTTGACTGTAGTCCTTTGTTCCACATAGAAACTGTAGGAATGTTTTCACATCTCATGTGGATGTTGAGATATTTAAGTATATACGCGCTGTCGTGCTGTAACAGGCTGTATACCATGCATAAGAGTTATATTCGTGATCCACATTATCAACAAGGATAGTGGTTAATATTCGTATTTTCGATGCGCTTTATCCTCTTTTTTGATTGAGAAAGCCATTATAGTAGTTTTAATACTCAAGATGGACAAGCACTAAAGGCGTGGTCTTTGTTGATGTTGGGGCATTCAATATGTTTAGCCCCGTGCTGTGGTGTACAACCTCATTAATCATAGTAGTGTTAATATTCTAGATGGACAAGCAAGGCGTGGTCTTTGTTGATGTTGGGGCATTCGATATGAGTATCCGTGCTGTGGCGTATAACCCCATTATAGCATTGTCTAGATTCTAGATGGACAATCAAGGCGTGGTTTATGTTGATATTGGGGTATTCGATATGTGTATCCGTGCTGTGGCGTATAACCCCATTATAGCATTGTCTAGATTCTAGATGGACAATCAAGGTGTGGTCTATGTTGATATAAGGGTATTCCCGTGGTGATAATGGGGTATTCGATAACTTTATTCCCGTTCTGTGATGTATAACTTCTTTCCTTTCTGCATTTCCAGCACTTGCATATTCAGTACCATTGGACTTACTGATTGTAATACTCTTTTTTCGAGACCTCATTCACCAGAAGCTTCGGTGCTATACTGCAAGCCGGCCTCAATCGCTGGCACTGACAGTGGTCACAGCCAGGGTTTTGTTGTGTTCTCAATGTTGCTTTTACATCCCATTTTATTGGAGACGGGACTGCTATTTAACGTTGTCGTCCGAGCCAGGTTTTGACACCTCAATATTGGCATTAGCCAGGGATTGAACCTGGGACGTTCCACACCAAAGCTGAGCACTAAGATTGCGCCACCGAAGCTCTCAATTATAGCAGTGTCTATACTCTAGATGGACAAGACGTGAAGGCGTGGTCTATGTCGATGTTGGAGTATTCGATAAGTTTTTCACTGTGCTGTCTTGTACCCGACCATAAACTATATTATTCCTGGTGTCAATCATGTGAATAGACGGAGGCTTTGTCATTGAGTTTTGCCCCAGTCGACAACATTTACACGTCAAGCGAAATAGTGCAGCTCGGAACTCTGGCATTCTGCTGGCATAAATAAAAGTATTGATAAGGGAGTTCATGTAATGTAAAAGTTTAATAACATTTAGGGCAGTTTCGTTGATGTGTAAATAAGTGTAGTAATGAATACCATTTATAATAGCGAAGGGGAACCAGGCTAGGATCGACGCAGCGGAAACGATAAGTAATGTCTTGGCAAGTTTCTTGTTCTGGTAGTGATTCTGCCTCACACGATTCTTTCCAGCCATTCTTTGACTGCAAAGCTTAAAGTTCGCGAAAACCACAGAATATGAAATGATTATCAAGAAGAGTGAAGATAATAGAAAAGAGAAAGGAACCCAAGCTGCATAGACGGCGTGGTCTTCAAAGAAACCATTAATATACGTCGTCACAGCTGCTACCATCGCAGCGAATATCCACGTGGAGATAATGATGCTGACGTAAGCTCGAGATGTCGTAACTCGATGACGTAATGGCCACACCGTTGCGAGCATGCGCTCCAGAGAAATAAGAGCAAGATTCATGATTGACGTTAAACCTGTAAATATATCTAGATAGTGATAACCATGGTATATAATAACGTGCACTCGAGGTGATGGTTTGGACCATGTTGAATAATGTAGACCAACAATATATATATAAAGAGGTAATGGCAGTATCCCCACGAGGAAGTCTGCTATTGAGAGATTGATGAGCAGATAAACGCTACGTTTCCTAAGGTGCTTGTTCAAACCAAACGTGACGATTGTCATGCAGTTACTAACGAGGATACCGATAGCTTGGAATGAGAAGGCGCTGCACCACAGTAAGCCCACGCTTGGGTTACGAAGAACAGTGGAATTTGAACCATTCATTTTCTTCGTTTCCTTTTGAAAAACAAAATGCATGACACATCATTTATAAGAATATGGCAAGTGCTTTTTTTACAATAACAGCATATAATATTCTAGACGATAGGAATAGTGTATTGGATAGTTATGTAATCGCCATCCATGCTGAAAGTATATTTCAAAGAATATTTGTTTATACTCATACATTGTTGACATCCAACTTCCTTCCCTTCAATAAACCTCTAAAAAGGCTTTCATCGATTGTTGAAAAATACAACCTGAGAAATCCAGCCATTTTTTTTACTACATTAACCTGTGCTCTCTGACAGTCATATTTTAAAGAAGTAATATGCCTAAGGATGTGAAACGTTTTCAATATTACTGTCCCAACATACTGATAGAGAAAATAAATGCCATATAAAGTCGAATTAGGAAAATTCAATTCAATTTCTGTGAAGAATGAATAGGAATAATAATTGATATTTATTATTTTATACTGCATGGGCGGCCATAGATATCCGTAAGTAAACCGCCCAGACAGGAAAAAGGCTTCTGTTTTAGATTTTGTTTGATATAAAGCAGTTTACGGCATTTAAACTATTGTAACTACTATTCAAAATAAGGAAGTTTTCTCCAAGTGAAAGAAAGATGGAAAATGAACTGGCAGTTGATAAGAAAATATTCTACTATTTTTTTACTTAAAAGTTTAAAATTTCTAAATTTTCAAACATTTTGTTAAGCACGAAGTGAAATGATATTAATGAAAAAAGCTCTCAAAAATATTATAGATCTCAAATCGTTTAGCTATGGACGAAACCTTCTACATAGCTTGAAAGAGGAACATTATAATCCTAGGGGCTAGACTCTTCATTGCGAAACCTTGGTCTTCGTGTGAACTTGGTCTTTGACTGATAAGCGAAAAAGAATAGACAGGAAGTAATGCCAGTCGCTGAAAGATAACTTTGATTTTAATAAACCATAAAAGAATAGACAGGAAAACAACGAAAATCCCATGCCGAAATTTGTGAATAAACTTGACTTTAATTAGTGGCAGAACATTATCTTAAAGACATGTTTATTGATATTAGAAGAGGTTTCATGACGAATTTGCTCGACAGATGTGCAGAGAACATTTGTGAAATTTGGGCAAATGATCTGCTTTTCGATTCCCTTTAACACCAAATATCTTATGACAAATAAATGATAACTGCTGGGATACGCATATTGTAATACCTAATACTAATTAGGTCGAAAGAAATAAAACATCTCTGAGCAAAAAAGAAAATTCTGTCGCATCTTCCATCTGTTTTATGATATAGAAGTATCCTCGCAATCATGATCACCGCGGTATACAGGTTATACCTATATCATTGCCAAAATCAACATTTGTGGGCGCCATCCCCTCCCTGCTGGTCGTAAATATTTCTTTCTGCTGAATTTAGTACGTTTTCGACCTAAGAACACAAATCTCATTTACAATAAGCTAGTTTCTCTTAATGAATTCTTGCTTTACCCAACTACTGCTTTTGCTTTACCACTAGGAGCTCTTAGTCAAACATATTCTTTATAACGAGTTAACGTAAAGCTTTTTGAATGCTTAGCTTGTCATAATCACTGACTTTAGCTGTCTGATTGACTTTTACAATCCAATGTTATTAGTATAAGCATTTGACAGAATTTACACTAAATACTAAAACTCCTTGCTTGACATACCAGATTCTTTCTTGCGTGTCAATGCCAAAACACACGCCTTTATCCTTGCCTCTAAGGAAAAGAATATTTATCGTACTGGACCGTTCTTCTCTTTGTTGTCCTCATAATGTGACCACATCAAAACTAATTTTCTTTTCATTCGCAGTTATTCTACGTTTTGTTTTACACGTGATGTGTCTATTTTAACTTGACTGAGTGACGCATGCTCAATTAATTGGTGGCAAGCGTGGAACTCATTTTAAAATCCTATTGATGAAACAAACGATAGCTGCTCCCAATAATGATATTTCTCTTTCATGACTCACATTTTGAGATATTATGTATTCATGTATCATTACTGTCTTACTCACTATTGTTAGCCACTTGAAACATTCACTGGTTTGAACAGGGTAGTCCTATATTTCTCTTCTGAATTACGTGTTACAACGAGGTGAACACGTCTTAAGCCCTTCAGTTCTTATCAAAAGATCATAAGTCATTTAACATTTTATATTTAGTACGTTATTGTAAAACATTTCTCATTTTCTTTACTGTCTTGTTTCCATTCAAATGTCTAGTCCATTTATGACACTTATTCAATAATGCTTCTTCAAGCTTTGGCAGTTTTTCTCATTTCATCTCATTTTCCCACTCTATTTTTCTCCTCTATTTATTATTTGTCAGGCTCTCAAAAATTAGCCAGTCAACCGATCGGTAGCTCGTAGACCAATATTCCATACTCACTGCAGCGTTTCGACTCATTAAGCATCAGCTCTTATGGTGAATTACAAATACTTCGCCACAGAAAAGGCGCAGCATTTTGTGTGAAAAGCTAATAATAATTAAGACTACAATTATGAGGCTTTACCAGTATTTTTCTTCCAATTCTTGCTCTTCCTCTGCATCGAGTTTGGTACAACTGGTTTTTGCAGACCGAGGAGAACCCGAACTAAGAAAAACGTCGCGGCAGAACCAACAAACGACTTTACTGATTAATGTAAAACACCACCATGACCAGAATTCAAAGTTGTGTTACAGTCTCAATCACAGCCAAAATAACAGGAAATATTTCAGGAAGATTAAGCAACATTGCCCAGTGTCTCCACACTAACCTCAACAAATTATCCCCTTCTCTTAAAACAGGTGCGCAATGGGAAATGGTTTCACAAGAACCCTTAGAACTACCCCTCCCCTCACCCCCTTATCGTATGTTCTAGAAATTTAAAAGTAAACTAGCTGAAATAGATTATTTAGAAATAAGTAGGTACGAGAAAATTCGTTGTCATAAAATAAAATTTGGTTGGCGTCTTCCTGGCGGATTGCTAAATTGTCTGGTGATAAATGCTTACTAATTGACTTGGTAAATAATCATATCTTAGATAGTCGACTCTATCACGCCTCATTTGCTATCAGTTTCTTGATATTTTGTTTTTATATGGTTTATATTCGAGCATCGGGGTTTGCTTTACACCTCATAATTAACAGCCATTCCTGAAACCATCTAGAATCACGTTTCATATGAGGTATTCTATGTTATGTAACTTGGATTGTCAAATCTTTTGAATCTATCTTCAAGAAAGTGTATTTTTGTACTATACACCAAGCATGGGTAAACTTACTTAATGGAAAAGGGTTCTTTCTTTTAGAGTCGTATAAATAAGTATAACAATCTCGATATATTTGTTTTGAATATTCGAGATTCCAAACAAATATGGCTAATAGTGGATTGCGATTATTTTGGACTGTGATCTTATGATTGTCCAACCTTTGTTTTGGATAATCTAAATGTGAATCATATGGAAGTTCAGTAGCGTAAGTAGGATGCTGTTGGAGCCTCAATGTGTTACTGATGAAGCCAAAAAGATCTTTATCGTTTTATGTATCAATAGTGTTCATATTGTAAACAAGAAGAAAAAACATCCCATTACAAGGAGTTTCCTGGTAAGATGAAATCCCATTTCATTAACTTCCCTTGGTATAATGCTTAAATCAAAGCTTTATCTCTTTATCTCAGTCTGCAGTTGCGTAACTTCCCCTCTGCCTCGAAAGGCTAGACTTTAAAAACCTGCTCCTATTGTAGTCCAAACAAATATTAAGGGCTGACAGAAAAGGGCATATATGATGATAATTTTGTTTCCTATTTTCATGATCTGTTCCTAATGAAAACAACGGAAATACAAGTCAACTGGAACTCGTATCATTCGTTCATTTACCAGTTTTTGCTGCCATTATGCTTTTATAGAACTAATTAAAGACGAAACTTGTTCTGCTGTTTGGATGAACAAATCTAGTGTTATATTATAAATCTACTTTTGGTTCTCTGTATTTCTAAACTTGTGTTTATTGTTAAAGTCATTAGCAGATTGTAAACTAGCTTTATGGTATTTTCCAGCGAACATATCGATCAAGTTGCCAATTCCTTTACAGGCAGCATTAGATTAGTTAGATGTGGATGAAGTTATCAATTCTCCTTTGCCATTAAGGTAAATGACATGAACTTGATAGGAGAATATTGACCTTGGTCAACCCTTTCTTCTAAAGCCTTGCCTAATTTTTTTCTATAAAATTGCAGTGTTTACTTTTACCATGCTTATTTACTTTGCATAACAAAATGAGAAATTATAGATTTTGATAGCGTTTGTTTTATCAAAGTGAACAGAATTATTATTTTTTTCATACTTACTTTGAATCCCTCGTTTTCCAAATAAATACCATCCACTTTGTTAGGATTTTACAGAATTAAAATTTTAGAGAATTTGTAGCTTTTGAGACCCTATTATTTACCAGACAGAAAATTGAGAGGTCTGTGGAGGCTGTAATCGCATCAGAAGCAGTTTGGGGTTTGACGGTGGGTCGTGCGATATTGCAATCTCTCAGCCGTCCAATAAAACACTTGATGCGCTTCTTAGATTATATTGTATTAACGTCGTAACACGATTGTATTTCAAATTTATAGGACGACGTCACTTAAGCAAAAAATTAGCAGCAATAATAAAAGCAGTCTAGTTAATTTCAATCGTTCAGAAACAGAGCTTTCATTCAGCTTGAGTGTTGCACTGAAAGAGCCGTCAACGCGCCTGAAAATTCAAGGGCTTTCATCCGATCATTATCATATTTAACAGCTTCCTTGATGGGCTATTGTTTTAAACAATAGTTGTGGTAGTGCAGGAAATAAAAAGATATAACTAGCTAAAAACTAGTGTGAGCTGCGTCGGTGTTTCTAATGAAACAGTAATGATGAAAAGGTAAATTATACACCGTGAAAAGATGGAAAAACTTAAGTTTTTTCATCTTTTCACGGTGTATAATTTACCTTTTCATCATTACTAGTGCAGGAAATATTCATCTGGCTGATATTTACTAAATAATTCTTTCAAGTTTGTGATGTTGGCCTTCTTTTCCCAGAGCAAATTTTAGAGGAAAAACTGAAATGCGATCTAGTTTGTCTCTTCTTTTTTGGTCGCCATTTTGAATATTAAATGAGGATGTCAGAATTCCGCTATTCGCATCGGTTCCTAACAGAACGAGTATAAATAAGTTCGCTCCCAGATCCACCTCGCACAGTTTCGTATGAATCTTGTAGTCAATTTAACAAATCGTTCATAGATTTCCATAGATTTCCAAAATGTTCAAAACTCAAGTGGAACCACGAGCGCAGGGAATGAAGAATCGCTCGCGCTGACACTTTGCGCAAGCGATTCGGCATTCTATGAGTTCGTCCTCTTATTAATCAAAGCTATCAGCCAATCAACTTGACGAAATATGAAATATTGACGACTTCCTATATATTCCTTTGATCTCTCGCGCTCATCCTATCCGTCCATCAACTGTGTTCAGCCTTTCCCCTCCCCCTTCCCACCCTCATTGTCAGTTTCTTTCTGCTCCGTTTTAACTGAACACGGTTGCAAGTACCCCATTCATATTTATCCAGCGTGGAAGGGACAAGTGCAAATAGGATACTATTTCATTCACAGCTTCATGTTTCCATATGAACAATATTTCAGTTTTGAAAAAAAAAAGATGTTTCCGAGTAAAATTTGCTTGAAGAAACACGAATCGCATCTTTGATATTTTTTTGTTTTATGACGTTCAATAGATTCCTTTAGTACTCTAAAAAAGAATATGCAAAGTATTTCCATATTTTCCGAATTACATCTCTTTCTCTTCGCATCAGCATTATTGAAAAATGAGGATTTCGAGCCTTTCAGAGGTTGAAGGAAAACATGAGGAGCTTAAGAACGTTCATGGGCAAAAAATCCCATCGTCAGATTTAAAAAAAATTTTGCATGATGAAAGAACATCTTTCTAAAAGTAAAATAAACAAATAAAAATGGGGGTCCCCGACATCGTTTAGCCGTCAGAATTCGTGGAAGTTCACCCTTTTTACGGTACAAAACACGCCGTGAACAACGTAAACATGGAAAGCTGTCAAAAATAAGTCATATTTTATTGAAAAAAATCAATTGGTCGACGCCATTCTTCACAGAAGACCAGAAAATAACGAAATAACTAGTTAGCATTTGAAATTTGTCAGTTAAAAATTAGAAATATTATACACTTAATGTCTGGTCGCGAGGGAAATAGTTTTGTTTTCCCGAGTGTCTCGATGTTTTGGCGCAGCTTTGTTATATAGCAATTGAGAAATATTGAGAAGTCAGTTTACGAAATAAGAACTTTATTTAGCAAGTTAAATGCATGAAAACTGACCAAATGACCATGATTTTGCAAATACAACTCACATACGGTCTTGTATTTCTCTACCAAAAAGCGAGGAGAGTAGCAACAGCATTTTTAGTCGCTTTTTTCGTATTTTCCAAATCCTCTTTCTCAATAAAAGTCTCTAATTTCTCTATTATTTCGCTTCGAGCTCCATTTGTAATGAAAATTCAAGCAAAATATCTGCTCCCGCTCTGTTGTTTTTGATTGGTGCAAAATTTCACGCCATCAGCGATTTTCACGTTCTGATCACGTGCACTTGTTTATTTTCACGATTGTTGTCAGGTACAACTTATTCCCTGACTGGGAAATAAGTAACTTATTTCCCGGTCGAGATACATTTAGATTTCACTAGTGTCACGTGGTCTTCTTTCAGCCAATGAGAGTGTTCGTTATATCGGAAAATTTCGTAGCTATATAACAAAAAATTTTATTGGGCTACGAGTGTGGACTTGATTTTCTCTAAAGTTTGGTATTACCGAGTACTTTCAAAACACTAAATAAAAAAGGGGGTGCCCGACTTAGTTTTAGAGCTAAAAAGATTAAAGACGTTTTTATAATATTTTGCTTCTCGAAGCATTGGAAAGTCGTCATCACGACGAGCGCCCGCTCACTAAATTCATGCGTAGAAAGGATGCGCGCGAACAATGCCCATGAACGTCCTTAATACAACTCAGGATTTCTCTTCATGATGTATATGACGTCACGTAAATCTCATTTAATCTTTGGTTGCAATGTAATTGGTTGCTGAAAGATATTTTTAAGAATCTATGTTCTTAATGACTGGGTCGAGTTAATATTGTGGGATTTTTTTAGGGGATTCTTTCTCAAGATAACGACTATGTTGTCACAGCTCCACAATGCCCAGCAACGTCTACTCGACCCAGATATTTCTCAGCCTCGGAATGGCTAATTGTCAGGGCTTTGCATCCGGTTTTAACTTATTAATACCTTACTAATAACACTCAATTGATCCACCATTTACTAGCAGTTTGATTGTTCGATAAAACAGATCCAAGAGTGAAGAGGAAAAAGGAGAACAAAAAAGATCAAAGTGAACACAAGGACATGGGCTTCGTATGGGGACCTGTAAGTATTCACTTATTCATATTCACTTATTAATGTTTTCCCATCTTAACCCACGTCTGGGTCACTTTGGTAATGCCTGTGGATATAAAATTCAAACAAATAAACTTATTATCACGAGGTTAAAAATAGCGAAGGAATACAAAAACTATAGGCCGTAAATATTTATTGAGTGTTTTGTATTAGCGAAAAAAATGGGTCACGTTATTACAGTGCAGTGTGGGATTTTAACATGGGACAATAGACGAAAAAAGGCGCCATCTTGGAAATATGTCCCCTAAAGCAGTCCCATTTTGCACTGCAATAACAGCGCGATCCATTTTTCCCTCCACCTCAGAATGGCTAATAGCTGGCTTTATATTTTCCAACTGCAAACAAAAGTCCGACATTTTATAGTCAATTCCTATATACTGAATCCAAATATGGCGAGCAATTTAAATAGCTATTGTTCTGGACTGACTAGCCTCTCTTACATATGAAAACGATTTTGTCTTTCCACCGAGCACGAGGCAAGTCAGTCCAGAACAATTAATATTCAAAGTGGTCGCCATATTTCGGTTAGGCGTATATCTTATGTTGCTATATTTTTATTAATACTAGCCGCTATGTTGAATGATTTACATAGGTTTTTTTTTGTATACTCTCCAACTTGGCTGCATCGTCTTCTTGGTTTTTTGTTTTGTTTTGTTGTCATTTCATTCTCTTGGGATACAAAATATTTTTTCTTATGGATCTACTCCTGAAGCGAAAAGTTATTCCGAAACTACCGTGAAGGCGCGCAAAATCGACAACACTCGCTATCAATGACACATGCAGTATTAATTTGATAACAAAGGGGACGGAAGTCTTGCATATAACCTGTATTCCCACCTCCAAAATCACCCTAGTTCAGTTTCTAACATTTTTGCTTATATTATATTTTTATATTATATAAATTATGATTATAATACATAAATTATAATATATTATAAATTATGATTATATTTTATATTTTATATTATATTTGCTTTTTCAAGGGAGAAGATGATGTTGCTGCATCTGAGGAATGCGAAGAAGTTTATGCCAAATTCAAAGAAAAGGGAATCAATATATCTATGCAGACTGTGAAAAGGTAAACATTCTGTAAATAAAAGGAAACGACACGGTAACTTATAACACGAGAAAGGTTTTAAGTATGTGGCTGAGGCATAGATTCTACTCTTAACTAGCCCAATGCCATGAGTAACAACATCGATTCTTTTAGTCTGTTTCTTCAAGAAGTTTGTTCTGTAGATATAGTTTTCAATGATGAATTAAATGTCAAATATGATATAACAGCTTGACAGCTACATCAAAGAGGTTGAGTGGTAGAACAAATTTCCATTCTAAGCCGGACAACAAAAAAGAAGCAAAAAAGAGGGGAAAACAAAAGTATTTAAAAAAAACATATTTATCAAGAGTTTTTCATATTTAGAGGCTTGATGGCGCCCGCAAGAAGAGCGTCTGAAAACTGTATGGCATCGTTTTCCATGTCATCTAGTTCCGGGTAAGTTCCGTTTCGCCTTAGGGCCGGTTACACTTTGAAAATGTCTGACAAATTTTAATTTACACTGATCCAACAATTCTAATATTGTACGAATCATGACACGAGCCCATATTTCTTTTTAAGAAACCCTTCAAATTTTATCGACACCTTGAAACAGCCTCGAGTGGGCTGAACAAAGTCGAGGTACGGCTATCTCACAGATCGAATTAGCATTTAGATTGTTGAGTTTTGCGGACGGAGAGCAAACCAGGGAATCAGGAGAAATACCTTCTAACCATGAGTGAGACATAGTAGTGTATGAATTGAAAAATCTAACGCCAAAGTTATTTCCTAACTCTTCCAGTTTGTTGAGCAGACCAGAAACATGGCTTCCTGAAGAATACGCGCGTGTAAAAATATGGGACGACGTGTTAAGTAAGGACATTCCTCATTCGTCGGAGTAATCGTGTTTTAGATATATGTTTATTGACCAAGCTTTTTTTCCTTTCTAACAGAAAAAGGCCGGTGACAAGATAGAGCCGGCTGTCTGAGTTATTTATGCACTATTCGTCATGTCATATGTACGCCCATCGTTATTCACGTGACGAAGTGCTATCACGTGAGCAATAACTTTTTGCTAAGAGAATGTGAGATGAGTCACACGATATAGCCTAAACAGTGCCAGCCGGAAAAAGCTGTCACAAGATGGAAGTCAACTGCACGTGACAGAAATCCATTTGGCTTTTGACAGATGACACATTTAACTGGACTGTGGGCCTTTATCACGCGGCAGCCATGTTGACTCAACAATAGATGAACGATAGATTTTCTCACGTGACTAAGCCTAAGCCAATCAGGAAAGTCATTATAAAAGGTATCGGGTGACAATCAAAATGAATGTTGCTGCACTAAGTTAATAACAAGTTGCTCACTTGAGTTTAAGCTGAAGTATGCGCTATTAGAAATGTTTGATTTGAGAGCTTTATATACTAAAAATTTGAATAACACTTGACATTTTCTATAATCATTCTTTTGGGTAAACTAATTATTATTGAAATTATCTGAAATCTTTTGCTCAAAAAATTCTTTCTCCAAAATATTTATCGTCCATTGAACATTGATCGTGTCAGTATACGACAACACGGTACAAAAGAGGTGCAGTACCATCAGGTTACAAACATAACTTTTTAAAAAAATGCATACAAATCCATCAATACTCTTCAAGCAACACTGACCTCTATGATCACTAGAGATCTACATTTTTTACTGCGGAAAAGTCGACTAATTTATGTTTTGCTCAAAAAATTCTTGCTCCAAAATATTTATCGTCCATTGGA